AATAAAAATGATGTTGAATTGTACGTATTCCTTGATGGCTTTACTTTTCCCCCAAATGTGTTTCTAATTCTACCGTTTGAAAATGAGAGTTACAAGTTAACCGTTTCAGGGAAAGCAGTTACTATGGAAGACTGCTTATCATGTGATCGGGTTACAGGTTAGCATTATTGGCGCATGAAAGGGTTAATAAAAACCTGCTAGCAAGGAGACCGTTCGATTAAAGCCAGGTTAGCGCATGCTAAGAAGAGCCGAGACATTTTGCTTTGTCTCAGGGAAGTGATACTACAATATCAGTGAGAGACAGGAATAATAATAATAATAATACATTTCATTTATAAGCGCCTTTCAAAACACTCAAGGACACTTTACAATCAAAACAAGAACAATAAAACCACAGATAAAATTATAAATAATAAAAGGAGAGATGAATTTAAACAGAACAATGTCACCTTGCTTATTCGGGCACTAAAGAAACATTTATAGCAAGGTATAATTATCAGAATAGAATATATAGATTTTGTAAGTGCAAAGAAATGTTCTTAGAACAAACGGTAATTCACTGGGCATCATATCTCTTCCAGTTGTGTGTTCTTGACGTGCTGATCAAACCTCAGAAAAACGATGAGAATAGTAACTGCCCTCGTGGCTTCTTGCGCATATCTCTTCAGTTAATTTTAGCTCACGTTTGTAAATGTGACAAGTGAAGAGTCGAAACGTAGGACGTTCCAAAATGATACCAGAGCTTTGTCCTGTGTGACAGCTCACATTGGAGAAAATGACATAATGTGAATTATCATAAACAGCGTTTCTCTCCACAATTTGTTTTTTTTTTCTCGCCCCCAAAAAAACTAGACACAATGTATATCTATCCGTTTTTCGACATCATTTGTCCCCATTAGTGGTCGGGGTGAGCTGGAGCTCGTCCCAGCTGTCTTTGAGCAACTGGGGGCACATCGAAATAAACATTTGCCGGTACATTCATTAAAAAAAAAGAAGAAGAAGAAGAAGAAACAGAAATTGCTTTTAGGATTATTACCATTTTGTGCTGTTCCATAACAACATCTAAATGAACACCTTCCAAAAAAACAACTTGAGTTTATTAAAGGGGAAGTCAAGTAAAAAAATGTCTTCACAATAATATGTTCTATACAATCCACTCGTATAAACATGGTGTTTTGATTAATATTGCATTTGTGGAATATGAATTATGCAGCAAAATCCACCCATTTTTTTGCCATCTCGGGCGGCCATTTTACCTCATGATGTCGACTGAAAATTACATCGGTTGCTCGGGGGGCTCAGAAAACGACCAATAATGGCTCAGCTTGTGAATGTCACATGACCAATCTCAGAAAACAGGCGTATCTTGATCGGCCGATATCTCATTGTGATGTCATTTTCAGTCGACAGCAAGTGGTAAAATCGCTGCCCCCTGAGATGAATGAAAGTGGGCGGAGTTTGCTGTTCAATTTATATTCCCCAAACGCAAAATTAATCTGAATGCGCCGTGTTTAGAACATATTAGTGTAAAGAACATTTTTGACTGGATTTCCCCTTTAAACAGGTCACTTTGTATGGAAATCGACCAAACTGAGCCATCAACCCTTTTGATGTTTAAAAGTCACATATTCATGATTTTACATCCAAACAGATGTTTTCTTCCCTTCTTTCCGTGATAATTATGTTATGTGCCGCATGGTGTGCAGACTGCTGGAGGAGGGGAAGGTCGAGGCTGCTGAGGAGCAGAAGCAAAGGATTGAACAGCTGCAGAGAGAAAGACGACGAGTCCTTGAGGAGAGCAACGGTGCACATCAACCAAAATTCTTCAGGTAGCCTTAATCTCTTGCCATAATACGTGATGAGGACACATTTGAATGTGCTTATTTTGCACTCTTAAAAGGCTTTATATCCTGTGGAATTTTTTTTGATCCAATATGAGAGCTGCATTGAACATTCTACGTTTACAAAGATGACACTGCCCACTTTTTTCTTTGTCTTTCTTCATTCATGCTTAGGAAGTCGAAGGATGACACGTGGGTGAGCAACAAAACTTACTGGGACTTGAGGACTGATCCTGGCTTTGCCCACACAGATTTCCCGACCTTGTGGTGACCTGAACTGAAACATATTCGCAGCCAGACTTCCAGTGGAAACAGGCGCGTTCAGCGCTGACCCTTCTTTTGTATTGTTATTGCCTTAACAACAAGTGCTTATCTAAGTTATGTAATCATATTATGCACCATGAGAATGTTGATCATGATACAGTGAGTCCAAAATGGAGAAATGTGAAAAAGGATGACCAGTCCACCTCATTACAAGCGCCTGCTCATTTAGAGGGTACTAATGACCTGGTACCACGTTAGCCAAGTATTGAGTGGATTCTGTCATTTAGACAATCTCTTGTTAAAAGTATTGAGTGGATTCTGTCATTTAGACAATCTCTACCTCAGAGATACGGTAGCCTTGTTATGCCATTGATTAACATTAACATCCGATATTTATTCTGCACATGCCTGATGCCTTATTAGTGGTACTGTCATTTTATATTTCAGTTGTTTTTCCGTTTCATGTTTTTAAAAATGTATAGTTTGTAAGGTGCTCTGTAAAGGAAACAGACTGAAAGTGTGTGTGTGTGTGTTTTTTTTTATTTCATAACAGCAGTGCTAATTATTTGTTATGACTCTGTTGACTCTGTGAGTGATGCAAACTGTAGGAGCCGGAGCATCACATACTCATTCATTTGTTCACCTCATCCAATGGGCCTTTGGTTCCACTGACATGCTGGTGCAGTCCAAGCTGAGTGTTTAAGCGGTGCTGCGTCATCTCAAATAAATGCTGCGATGCTTCCCTCTTGTGGAGTCTTATGTGTGGTCAGGTCTTTTTTTTTGTTATGAGCCGTTTTATTCTTCGGTCTTGTGCAATTAAACTTCATTCTGTGACTTGTTCTGGATCGCACAACTGTGACCAATACAGTGGAAGTTGTGTATTCAACAGAAAGGATGTCTGCTTAATGGTTTTGTCTACAGTTGCACTTCAGTTTAGTCAGTCCCCATTCATTTGCAAAACGTGTAACGGAGTCATGCACTGTCACACTCCGTCGTGGTCCGTCACATATGCACTCGGCCAATACATGCTGTACTGATATTTCAATTGTTCTTGCAAACTATTGTACGTTTCTAAACGTTGCAACTATATCTAATGGGAGTTGAATATTTTTTGGTGAAAAATTGTATACGGAGGCAGAACTTCAAACGTGCAACATATAGCCATCAAAATTTCTAGTCAGTACACTTTTCATTTTAATTGTTGACAGCGCTGACTTACTGATCATTACAATTTGTAACGTGGTCACAGGACGCAAGAAGGCACTCTCACTCACAACCGTACTTTATCTTTTTGTTTTTATAACTATTACCTAGAAGTATTTTTATTGTAATTAGGATTTTACTAGATCGAGTTAGTGTCGGACCAAGATCTTGTTCCGCCCGCCTCGGTATATTGATTGACAAGCAGCGCTGTCGTATGTCAAACCTAACTTTTATCGAAATGTTTTTAATAAATGTAGAAAAAATGCTCAATGTTTGCTTCCGCTGTCGGTGTAGCCTTATGTCCATTGTGACAGGAGTTTTATTGTTTTTCATAAACTAAAAAAAAATAATGGTCAAGGTCTGCTTCCGGAATTGGGCGTGGCCTTGGTTTGGCCAACTTGACAGGAGTCTGTCTTCACGTTGACTTTTCAATCTTGGTGTGGGTAAGTTCTTAATGTCTGTCTTCTCAAAATGTGTCTCGACTGTTTCGTCGACTTAACGTTACAGCGAAAACTAACGTTATACCGCCTCTCTTTGTTCAAGACGATTTTGGATAATTGATCAATCTCCGCTGTTGTAGCTGATGGGTGCTAACTGTTGTCTTCGTGCACGGACGACTAATTGCAGGAAATCATTCAACTTTTTCATTGTGCCTTTTAGACGCTGAGAAAATTTTAGAATTAAGGTAAGTTAGAATCTGCATGTTTAACTTCCTTTTTCATTGAAGGAGGGGCCGAGTGTCTGTCTGGGAGTCAACTAGCCGTCTAACTGCCCTCGTTCCGGAGAGATGTTTGCCACAGCCACCAGGAATTTTGTGGACGAGGTGGACCCCGGTGGTTTGTTGATCCCGATGAGAAGCGTCAACGACTCCATCGCTCTGCTCACTGTGGTTGTGAGCCAGAAACCCTTCTGGTTCTGGCAGAAGCCCAAACATCTGCCCACTGACTTTACCCTCAACGACCTCCTCGTAGGAGACACGCCTATTACGCCAGGTAAACAAACAACAAAACTAATAAAACTGCTCTAAAAACTAAATAAAACAAACGGACTTTGAGAAACGAAATTTAAAACAAAATAAAGACTTACTATAATGAAAAATCCAAATCTATTATAACCCTGGGCTGCACTGCGCTTCCATTACAGTATGTGGATGTTAATTTTTATTTCTTTTTTTTTTTCCAGTAATATTTCAACCTCAATGTGTTGCCGTGTCAATGTAATCTGTCCAGGGCCTTCAGAATCAGTCGTGGTGCGAACAGCCAAGTGGTCCACAATAATGTCGTCATATTTCCATCTTCTGATTGATTGGTCAAAATTAGCAAAACAAGTTGTATTAGCAACGATGGTTAATTAAGCCTACTGACACATGCACATATTTAAGGAGAATATATTATGGAAAACCCTAGCTAGACTTTTTAATTGTTTGTACACACTGATTTTTTTAATAACCTAATTTAAATGATCCAACCTAGTAAATCTTTTGTTATTTGCCCATTGCTGCAAATGTTACATTACCCAGTGGTGACCTCACACAAGCGCTCTTTAGTTTATGTGCAGTCTGAATGTGTACATCTGTTGCTGCTGATATTGGATATTAAGTGTACTTTAATTTTTAATCCTTTTTGTGTTGTGACTGAAGAATATCAGAGACTTTTTATTAAGACACCTGGAAATGTTTTGAATTGTGTCAAATGCGCATGAAGTTTATTGGTTATGTCAGTGGTCCCCAACCTTTTTTTGCGTCACGAACCGGTTGAGAGACAGGGCGGCTTAATAAAAATAGATTTTTTTTCATGACTCTTAAAATAAAAACTCATCTCACATTTTCATGCTTTCTACTTGGATGTGACCTGTTCAGATGATTCAACATGCTCTTTGTATGACCTTGTTTTTGCCAAAATACTTTGCACAACGGCTTGCTCCACCACGTCGTCACTTCCACAGCGCGTTGGGGCAGGAACTGTCGTGGAAATTTGACCATTAACAGTACTAACTTCTATCACATATCCTGCTCTCTGTAAGGGTTGCGATCCAAGCTCGCTGATGTGCAAGTTTGTGGTTTTCCTGTACTTTAGACATGTGGATACAAAACCGAATGAATTGCAAACCGATGTCAAGACGGGGTCACGGTCCCCAACTTATGCACACGTTTTTCTTTAAGGTCGAACAAAAAAAATTAAATAAAATTGCACTGTCACTATGTCGCCCTGTACTAAATCGTCTGTGGCCCGGTGGTGACTGTCACTATGTCGCCCAGTACCAAATGGTCTGTGGCCCGGTGGTTGGGGACCACTGGTTTATGTAACTGTTTTAGATCCACGTACCGGGTCATATATTGTTTCAAGTCTACTAACTGACGTGTCTTTCCGTCTGTAGTTTTAACAGAGATAGACTTCATCAAATACAATGGGACGTATGGTGGCCACATTCAAGGGTCAGTGGATGCCACATTCATCCAGTCCAACGTGAACGTGGAGGGAAAAGAGTCTTCCAAACTCCAAATGTCATTTGGCAGTTTGAAGAAAGACGAAGTCGATGTGCGCAGGCTCCTGCAAGATTCAAAAAACAGGTTTGATTCACCGAATGTGTCCTCATTGAAAAAAATAAAATAAATAAATAAATAACACTACAAAGTCATCAAGGTTATGATTTATACATATAACCTATGTTTGTCGAAGGTCTCCAAAAAAGCAGGAATGTTCTTTATCGGATCACAAAGTTGCACTGCTAACCTTACATGGATCTGTTGAATATTTGACAGTTGCATTTCCGCTGTAGGAACAGAAATCCAAGGACCCCCTGTATGCATTGAGTATAAAAAGTCTACACACCTCTATTTAAATGCCAATGTTTGTGTGAATAAATCAATACGATCAATTATTTCAAGTCCATTCCCACCAGTAATCCGGCCTACAGCACAACCTGAAATGTTTTAGAGAGTTGAAATGAAAGTAAACAACAGATCTCTGTTGTTTATTTAACACAAAGGTAACCTTACCCAATTATCCAGACATTACAGTAAGAAGAAGACGGGAGATTGTTGTCACATGCGAACAGTAGCGTGTAGAGTCAGACTGTTTAGTACAACCTGAAATGTTTTAGAGAGTTGAAATGAAAATAAACAACAGAGATTAGGTGGTTGCATAAGTGTGCACACCCTCAGTAACTGGCGATGTGACACATTCTCCCACATACATTTGGGAGATTCTAAGTCTGTCATTTTTTTCTTTGTAAGATAACACAAAGGTAACCTTACCCAATTATCCAGACATTACAGTAAGAAGAAGACGGGGGATTGTTGTCACATGCGAACAGTATTGCGTAGAGTCAGACTGTTTAGAATCACTCTTCTTTTTTGCCCCCTTTTTATACAAAACATTAAGAAACCTATTTTTTGTTTTGTTTTTGTCTTTCAGAATGAAATTTACAAAAAACATTTGAAGTTACATGTTTTATGGATAGCATCGTTACATTATAATAAATACACAGCAGCACAGTATACAATACAGTAAAATAAATGTACTGAGAAGAGGCATTTTCTTCGAGTATGAGATTGTTGTCACATGCGAACAGTAGCGTGTAGAGTCAGACTGTTTAGAATCACTCTTCTTTTTGGCCCCCTTTTTATATAAAACATTACGAAACAGATTTTTTGTTTTGTTTTTGTCTTTCAGATTGAAATTAAAAAAAAAAACATTTGAAGTTACATGTTTTATGGACAGCATCGTTACATTATAATAAACACACAGCAGCACAGTATACAATACAGTAAAATAAATGTACTTAGAAGAGGCATTTTCTTCGAGTATGAAACATATATTTGTACAAATTGGTTGCAATAATTAAATGATGGCGGTTCTGCCAGCTATAGCTTGTGAAATCTCCTGTGGCAAAACAAACAGACAAAAAAAAATCTGTTTATTCAAGTTGAATAAAGGCATCCATTGGAGTGAACGTCACGATTTTACAAAATTTACATGTACTGTATGATTATTTTTCTCAAGGTCCTTTCACAGGAGGAAGAAAATAAACAGAAATTTCGAAATCAGGGGGAAAAAAAAAACAAACATTGTCGAAAAATGATAAAAGTTTAGTGATGGGCTCTGAAACGTATTTAAGAAGACATTTGAAATGGCTAGAATAAGTCACCGTTTAAGTTTTGTTTCTATGGGACACCGTTTCCCTTTCATACCTGTTTTACTGAATTGCAAATTGCAAGATTTGTGTCTGTCATGTACTGACAATCAAATGTCCCACTAGGGTACTGGACATGTCCCACTGTCTGATCCAGCAGACCAAAAAAAAGTGTCAGGTGTTTGGTGTCGTGAAAGAGCGCATCGTGACCAACCAGCCATGTAGTGTCGTCGAGGAGCTACAGCAGGCCGGAAGCTGCGCTGGGACCTTCAGCCTCTGGGGTCTCAAGAGTCCAAAGGTCAAACTGGAACGACTCACATACTTGTTTTCTACGATATCTAATCTTCCCTTACATTTTACTACATGTGCAGTTTAAATGTGTTGACTTGCTAGCTGCAACTTCGGCGACTGTTGAACCTCCACAAAGTCAAATGCCCCCCAAAAAATTGTACAAGGTGAATGAAGGTCCGCCATTTGTTGTGCTGCTTGCCTCCGTTAGAAATTGGAACTTATTGTGACTTAGGCAAGCTTTTGGCTACCGTACAACATGAGCAGTACAATCAAGTCGATGTCAGTCATATATTTTTACATTTGACCAAACAGATGCTAACATAAATAGTCATCGAATGCATGCTCATGACGATTATGGACATGACAAGCGCAGCTGACAATCGGATTCCTGTTCCTGCTCCGTTATGTGTCTGTCAGGCGTCGTCAAATGGTGCAGAGTTTTACTTTAATTTAGTTCTTCATATGTGATTGTCAAGCGGTTAGCATGTCGACCTCACACTGCAGAGGTCAATCCCGCCTCCGGCCTTCCTGTGTGGAGTTTGCATGTTCTCCCCATGCCTGCGTGGGTTTTCTCCGGGTACTCTGGTTTTCTCCCACATTCCAGAAACATGCATGGCAGGCTGATTGAACACTCGAAATTGTCCCGAGGTGTAAGTGTGAGCACAGATGGTTTTTCGTCTCTGTGTGCCCTGCGATTGGCTGGCAACCGGTTCAGGGTGAATCAATTGATTGTCTTTAAGAAGACCGCCAAGTTGAAGAAGTGCGTATCTTTGTGCAGGTGTTGCTGAAAGACAATGCTAGCCTTGGCAAAGACAGCAACGTTGCCATGGAGATTCCCACCAACACCACCCTTGCCTATGCACTCATTGACCTCGTGGTGAAGCATGACGGTCGCTACGGTGAGCTTGCATTCGATTTCAGTCATTCCATTCCAAAAGTGAAATTAATATATTCTATAGATTCGTATGATACGGAGGGAAGTATTTAATATGTTTGATGACTATATTTTACAGCTAACAAAAATAGCTTGAAACACAGACACTGACCTTCTGAAAATTGCACTGTATATGAGTTCCACTTTTTGATTCAAAGCAGCGAATCAAATTAACTTTTCCATCGGAATCTAATCTATGAAGCTGCACCTGTACCAATGTATATGCAATCTACCTCTACTTACGAAATTAATTGGTTCTGGAAGAAATTTCTTCACTAGAAAATTTAGAGACTTAACGAGAAAAGTAGAGACGCGTTTTCCATGTAAATACCCTAATCCGTTCCAAGCCCCCCCAAAATTCAGACATAAATGTTTTCTAAAGCAAAAAAAATGCATCGAAATATGTAACAAATACATGTTACAATTATTGCACAATAAATGAGAGTTGTGCATAATGTAAAAAAACAAAACAAAACCAAAAACAAAGAATAGAGTAACAATTAAAAATGATGGCCATTTAACTTTTAACTGCGTCCTCATCATTTTTTTACCCTCTTTAGTTCATGTTGTCTCTTAGAAGTGTTTTTTGTCTGGCGTTTTGTATCGAACTGATCCGAAGACGTTTGCTTTTGTCCACTTTTAACGATGCATCGAAAATGTCCAAGGCAAACATCAGCATAGTGAGAGACCGCCCGACTGATGAACACTTTTTTTCTGGGTGATTCACATTTATGTAAAAATTGGAACGCTTCATGGCCCGAGGGGCGAATGACGAGGACGCTGCATCGACACATATCTATCTATTTATCTATCGACACACATTGACACATTCAGTAGAGGTCCCTCTTAGCCAATGGGATGCCAGGAAGATGCTAGCTCAGCCAATGGCAGAGCAGCGATAAGTATGTTGCGTTCAGGAAACTCGGAGCTGCGAGTATCAGCCCATACTGTATTTTTACCTTTCGAATCTTGAAATTTCTTTCGGAACAAGAGGCAGTATTTTCCTGTTGAGGTGTTTCTTAACTCGAAAATTTCGTATGAAGAGACGTTCGTCAGTAGAGGTACCACTGTACAAGTATTTGAAATGACTGTATGACATGTTTGCACAGAGCTGTGTCTGATGTCAAGCGAGGGGGGCTTCGAGGTCGACAGCCCCACCCAGAGAAGTCTGGCAGGTGTCCCTGGAGCTTGCGGGCAAGACCATCCTGACGGCAGCCATCTTCCACGAGGTCAATTATTGCCAAAGCTTTCATTGTCTCGTCTGCACTCGCCGGCCATGTGCATGACTTGTTTGCCCGCTTACATTTACAACTCTGCTTCACAGCTCTCGCAGTATTTCAGTTGATCCCAAAGAGTTTTTGATATTGAGGTGAATTTTTGAAGCGTTATGTATGACACACCTCGAATCTCGGTTGCCAAAAGTTTTTAAATGTCAAAGGCCCTCACAGGATGCCATCAGAATACAGCTGCTATTCTCTTTTTTTCATGTTCAGTTGGACAGTCAAACTTTGACTGGGAGTGGCTTAAACTTGGATCTCAAATGTTTGCGTGCAAATCAAAGCAAAAAAAAAAAAAATTGGCCGAACACCAGCTCTTATCTCGAAAAAAACGTTCAAGTTGCCCGAGAAATGTAATAATTCAGTTGTCCTGAACAAAGCCACCGGTTTCAAAATATAAATAATAATAATTGTAAAATGACAAATACCTGCTCAGCAATTACACTCGTGACAATGTTGACGTTTCTCCCTGACATTTGCAGAACTGAAGAATCTGGGTGCTCATTTCCAGCTGCTGGCAGCTCTTCCCGCCTCCAGCAGGTCTTCTCTGCTCGAGAAAATAACAGCACTCATGGTAGACAAAGCGGCCCTCAATGCTCTTCAGAGTGTGGTAAGATGACTCAAATGCTTTGATTGCTTGACTTAATGATCGCTTCAGATCGCCCTCGTCTCTCACAGTTGGACCAGATGATCCTGGGAAAAAGTGTTAACACGGTCGACGTTTCCGAGGCGCACAAACAAAGCATCCAGCCTGTTCTGGAAGTGCTGAAGGAAGCGGAAGGTGTGTCAGCAGCACAGATGGAAGGCTCCGTGACGGTCCTCAGTGCACTTCATCTTATTACCAGTGCTTTGAGTGGTGAGCATGACTTTTTTTTTTTCAACATCTAAACATTGTACTGGGCACCACACATTTTGGTGCCAAGAAAGTTTCAATGGTTTTAGGGTATTTTGACGTCACTGAATTGGAAAATGGAATTGTTTTTCCTGAGTTGGCTCGAGTTTTTGAACAAAACACGCAGGCAAGCAGAGGAGCTGCAAAATATCAATAATTCAGAAACTAAAGCCAATTCAAAGTAACAGATCGCACTCTCTGACTCCGCTGCTCAAAATGACCCACAAACCATTAAAATATCATTGGCACCTGAAAAAAAAAAGTTGGTCAAGACAATTACCGGTATGCATTTGTTCTTTTACTTGAAGGGTGTTCCTTTTCTACATCTGCTGCGTGTTTTATCGCCATTCTCACATCTTAAGTGCACATTTGCTCTGAAATTTGCCTTCCAGAACTGACTTGTGACAATCTTGCTGCGCTGAGAGTCTGCAGCTGTCCAGACACGTTAAAAGTCATGGACCTTCTGGTTTGTACAGAGAATCCCAACCGCGCTAAAATGTGTTATTTCATTTATTTACTCTGAATGGGTTTTTAATTTTCGCTGCCATCTGTTGCAGGTAGAGCACTTGATGGAAAGCGGGGAGTCGCCGGCAAGCGGCGCGGACGTCGCTGCACTGCCAGAGAATGTCTTGCCTGTCATGGAACATCTGTTCAACTCCTCCGGCATGAGCCTGCAGAGAGACGGCGACACGGCCAGGAGCCAAATCAACCAGCTGAAGCAACCAGGAAACCAACCTCTCATCATGTGTATTGCTCTCCGAGGCCTCCGCTCACTTAACCCCCACTAACAAGCGCTTTATAAAAGACCTTCCACTGTGAAGAACAATCATCCAAATTGAAAAGCACCCAATAACATCCTTCAAAGACGAATCACTTTTTAAATTGTATTACAGCACAATTCACTTTTAGTGTTTGTAAATATGCTTTGTTCATGTCAGATGACATTCTGAACTTTTCAAATGAAAGTCTGTTGATTTTTATGTCTTATCAAATGTTGAACGCTTTAGCACTCCTGTCGAAAAATAGTCATGCCATTTCCTTGGTTGTTTGAACGGTAAGCGGCATATTAGCATACATAAAAGCATATCTCGCTTCAGTGCATGCCATAGTCTGTGTGGATCATGTGAACCCATTCAAATATTCTTCATTCTGTCGTTCCTGCCTTTAAAAAAATGAATTAAACCGTTACACCTCCATTTTGAATGTCTTCATTCTTGGTTTAAAAAAAAAAAAAGATGCAGTCAGACTTGTTCATTACATAAAAAAACATTTATTTAACATTTGAAAATACATCTTATCTGAAATATAAGTAAAATACACTTTTTTTTTAAGTCAGTCAATATTTTTTGAACAGTTAAACTGTGATCACATCAAAAGGGACGGTTTACTGAGACACAAGGCCCTGATTAACTCAAAGGGCTATTTTTGTAAGTCAAATGCAGCACCACATTGAATGAGAGAAAGCAACGTCAACGTTCACATGGGATTTGTGCCCGGCTTCATAAGGGAAATAGTTGATGGGCACAGCAAGCCTTCAATTTAAATGAATTTCATCTGAACCAGAAATGGGAGGGGTGGGGGGTGGGGGGGGGGAGCAGGGTGGTGATTACGAGAAGAACGACAGTACAAATAGTGGCAAAATGAGATGACAAAAGTGTAAACGCAAACACTGAGGTGAGGTATCAATCAGCAAGCCCTCTATTATCTTAGCAGAATAAATAGACAACTGACAAGTGTGACATTAAATAATGGGACATGGAAACGTAATTATTTTTTGTTATTCAAAACATCCTGACACAATATGACTCCCAATCCATTCGATGAGTATATTAAACGAGTTTGCCAATAAATAAGTACACTTCCTGTGTGCTGTGACTTGCATAGTGTGCAGTGCAGTGTCTCCGTTCACATGGCAGGCGTAGCAGCTCAGGATAGCCCAATGTCCAGTCGGATCGAAGGTGGGAGGCAGCATCAGTAGACCCAGCTGACCGGGACCCACTGCGGCTCCACGAATAGTCTCTCTACTGCCTCCTGCAGTTGGTCGAAGGCCTTGTCCAAGTTGTCGTTGTAAATGGTCAAGTCGAAGAAGTGGCTGTAGGCGCGTCGGATCCTGGCGCTCTCCTCCACCGTTCTCTTCAAATCGTTCTCCTGCGCTCACACGGCAAGAGAGATCAATATGAACGCGTGTTTCGCATACCTGACACATCTTGTGCTGTCGTTCTGTTTAAACTGTAAAGTGAGGTTGCTTGGCGACAGCCGGTCCGTGTGCTTTACGCAAAGCGCATTGCTGCAAGTTATTTGCTGGATATTGCTTGCACCAGCAAACAGCCTTACTAAAATAAGTACCTCTGACCTTGGCCCATGTGACTCAAGATTGACACAATGCGAACGTATCATCAGATTCCAGTATGACTTGGCTCACTGATGGAAACCTGCTGTTCATCCTGACAATCTCGACAACACACAACCTTAACCCAAACATAAACAGGTTGCTGAGAAAAGACGCAAAGTACCCAAACAAAACCACACAAGAGCAAATTAACCAACTGAGAAGCACGCATTTTCTTTTGTGACGTCACCATGTTGCAATTTGTCAACTTGTGGCAGATATTTTTATGAAGAGCAACATATTTGGAGTTGAAGTTCATTCATTTTGGAATGACATGCTGTCTGTTTTGATTAAAAACAATCAGCTTCAGTCTGTTCACTAAATGTTTATCCTGTTCGGCCTGTGACCAAAACTGTATTTTGAGTTTTGGCCCAATGGGCACCCGAATTTGACAGCCTAAGTTTGTCTTTAAAGGACTAAAATGTGCGCTTGAAACTGAAATAGTTTTGAAGACAGTGGTGGGTGGTCCAAATTTCCTGTCAAACTTACGGTAAGTAGTTTGGTTGTAAGTCCGGCATCCACGACAGCTTTGTGCATATTTCTCAAAGTGTCCAGCTCAGGAGCGGCAATGAAGACTACAAAGGGCATGAACTCGGCAGTCTTCAGCACTTTCAAAGCCTGAACACAATTTCAACAAACATCAGAAAACGAGCCTCCACCCCCCTCCGTCACCTCGTGGATGGAGTTGATTTTGGTACCATAGAGGTTGCCGTCGTATTCGCCGTGCTCCAGGAAGCGGCTGTCCTTGATGTCCCGCTCCATCTGATGCCGCGTCACAAACGAGTAGTTCTGCCCGTCTCGCTCTTCTTCTCTGGGGCTGCGCGAAGTGACTGAAATGAGGGAAAAGGACGCAAATAAACATCACACGCCTGGGGGGTGGGGGTGCTTGTACCTACTTCCAAAGAGGCATTTATTATACTATAAAAATGAATTTTAAAATAATACATTTCAATCAAATTTAGAATGTAAATTATTTGCTCAACTTATGACTGACTATACAAAATAAAACAATTTTCATTTTCAAAATTATTACAGTTCTAAGATATTTCAAATACATAAAATATTTCAATAATTTAAGCTTGCATTTGTACCCAATGATACTAAAATAATAATATATATGAAGTATATTATATGGTAGTTTAGATGGTAATACAAATTAATTTTCATAATTATAGTTTAAAACTGTTTGTTTTATTTTTCTTACTCGCTAATACATAATCCTTTGGGTTAAGTTTGTATCAAATTGTGATAAATATAAAACATGATTTTTAAAGCGGAAGTCACATCAAAATCTTCTTGACCCCAATAGGTTCAATGTGGCCCCACTCGTCTCGGCGTGGTATTAATTACGGATTAAGATTGCATTTGTGGAAACCCAATTAGGCAGCCAAATCATTTTTATGCGTCTCACGGGGCGGCCGTTTTTCCACTTGCTATCGACTGAAAATGACATCACGATGCCAAAGGGAACGACCAATCACGGCTCGCCTGTTTTTTGGGTTTCGTCATGTGTCGTTTGCAAGCTGAGCCCTTCGAAGATGGCATCTATTAAAGATGCTGCTTCAAAAATTATGTGAAACATGGCAACTATTAGAGCACAGCAGAGTAAACGTTGCTTTGAGCTACAGAGAACTAAAGCGGTCTTGCTCCATTTTTGTCGTTTTTAAGCAAAGTGCAGCCATGAAAACTGAAATGGGGTCAGACGAATACTGGTGGAGACCGAGATTTAGTTCCACGTGTGACAACTAGGGGGCAGTCCAATACTACACTTGGGTGCCAGTTCATCTGCTCCTGACTATAAATGAATCTTAATTTATCACATCTCATAACATATTGTTAGACTTCTGTCCAAGTAATCATTGCCGTGTAAATCGCCAAGCTGCCAATCTCCCAGATTCATTCAGTTTTGACTCACTTCAATGCAAAATGGCAAAAACAAAGCCCGCCCGCTCAAGTCCTCAGCCGCTCATTTGACAGAAGCGTTTCCTTGGCTGAGAGTCACTCACAGGGCACAGTGGTTCCATATCGGAGAGGATTCATGACGATGAGCCTGTTTTTCAGGCTCCGCCTCCCAACACCCTGGGCACCAATCAGAACCAGGGTTTTCCTCTGGAAGGGCGGCATCTTGGCCACCTCCTCATAGATCTGCAGCTCGTAGCGGTCAAATTCTGATCATTTAAAAACAAGCAGGACGTTGGATTGACTTCTCTCGTGTGTGTGCAAATAGACTTTCAATAGGATTGTGACACGCACCTGCATTCTTTGCAGTGAGGTACATCATTTTTTTCTTCTTCTTTTTGACTGCGAGATTCCCACAGAGCATCCCTGAATGGCACGCAAACGTCATCGGTTCCCTGTTGTGGTGCCGCTTGAACGTGAAGGTTACTGGCACTCACCTTTACCCGACAGATCCCAGTCTTTCCTCACAAACGCTTTCCGCTTCTCCTCCAAGAACTGGCTGGGGATGAGGCCGGTTGCTCCGCCCACAACACTGCGTGCCTAGAGCGGAACGAAGAGCTTGGGCAAATCACTCCCTTGTCCGCATTGTTAGTTCATATAGTCGAACCTACATCGAGAAATTTAAACTTATGTGTTCGGCGAGCTTCGAATTCGTTCATTCTATAAATGCGTCATGAAAGAAAAGATGTGAAGCGTTTGGCGTTCTGGTTCGCTTCACGGGACAATGCCACTGATCAACGTCATGCTTCTGGTCGAATGTTCTCTTTCATCTGCAGATATCGGAATTCAGAACGCGCCAACTCACCTGCCACCAGTTGGGATCCTCCTTGTTGACAACGTGAAGGATGTCTCCCTTCGAGAAGGCAAGGCCCGCCTCTTTACAGGGAATCAGGTTGTCTGAGGCCGGGTTGTAGTTGAAATGGGGCTTCAGGTAAACCTGACCAGAAATGACGACGGGTTTACCTCAATCAAAACCAGAGAAGAGGGCGGCATGACATTTATTCATGGCACAGATTTAAAATAAAACAAAACAAGACCGTGACGTGAATCTAACCGAGTTTCACTTTGGCGAGCTTCGATGATTTTCTAATTTACTGGAATGCATCGGCCAGTGTGATGACAATAAAAACACCACTGAAAGCAAGCAATTTTTAATGCGGCTGAAATGAGCTCATTGGTCAACTTTGATCAACTGATGCTTCGGGAAAAAGGTCACATGATGACATAACGCTGCATGCCCATTCCCCGCTGCTGTGCTCATACTGTAAGCACAAAAGAGGGCCCTATGTCCCAGATAGTGTGTGTGTGTGTGTGTGTGTGTGTGTGTGTGTGTGTGTGTGTCGGGGGGGGGGGGGGGGGGGGGGGGATTGTGTTAATAATAGATGCCCCTTGGGCTCGGTTTACACTGGTTTGGCATTCGGAACACACACAGGTCAGGAAACACTCCCTAATGCCAATCGTCAAGTGGTACATTGTACAGTAATCCCCAGCTAAGCCATTCACGGGTGAAAGGGACCGAGCCCTGCAGCAAAGAGTTGGAAAACCACGAGTAATCGACGCGCCGCCTAAAACATTTACCTTATTAATTTAACTTAACACCACAAAGTGATCTGACGCAAATCTGGCGGTCAAATGCTTCGACCCAATGCAAAGCGGCATAGACGGGCAAACAAAACCAGATCCGATCAGCGACTTCACTGATGGATCGACAAATTATGACCTGACAGCTAATTGAGATTTTTGCATAAAATGCAATATATCAGCTGATTGGATCGAGCCAATCAGACCTGTGTGAAGTCTAACCGGAAGTGCACGCGTGCGTGTACATGTGGCGAAACTCTCCGCAGCTTCCACGGACAAACCAGGCTCAACTTGAGCACCAACCGACACATAAAGCTTGCCTCTCCGTCGATATGTATCACTTTCCCTTTGGTATCTTAAGATACATGTTGAATATGATCTGTGATCAACTTGTAACTCAATTCACTTGTATATCAAATCGATATATTCCCGATCAACTCATTTGAACGGCCATCACTGAGTTCCAGCACCGCAAAACATCATAACTGCGTCATTAATAAAGAAAAATAGGATTGTATGAGACTATCAGTATTGACATCATTGGCTCCCGTGAATCGAACCTAGTATCACCTTCACTGTTCCGAGTAGTAATTAAAAGAGGGACATAATCCCTGTTCCACGTTGCTGAGCAACGGAGGGGAATCCCGCGCTGTACATTTTTTTTTCGCAAGGAAGGTTGCGGTTGCAGTTAGCTTTCCGCGGTTAGTTGTAACGAAGGCCTTTTCACTATTTTGTGGGAAAAACATGGTCGTTATAACGAAGTTTACGTTATAACCGTGTTCGTTGTCAGCTAAATCATCAAATGGAAAATGAATGAGGTGAAATTGGGACTTTGAAATGTGAACGTTATGGGGTGAAAACGTGAATGGAATACGTTGAAAAGAGGTTCGACTGTATTTAAAAACAAAGGAAATAAAGAAATAAACTTGTTTCAATCAATGTCAAGCCACAACAACTGTATTGTGGGATGTGTGCCTTTAAGGGGCGTGGCTTAGAGTGCTGTCAGGAGCCTGGCCTGATTGATCTGCGTTTCAGCGATTTTGGGCTTACCGCAGCTCCTTGCGAGTGTTCTCATTCTGTATTCGTGTTTAACTACTTTATCCATTCATAAATGATTCTGATAATGATTGACAGGTCATAACTCCAAAAATAAAGAACTTGGGACACTCGTAAGTCACCACTGTACTACTTTCCTAGTTAGACAGGGTTTTGCGGCATATGAGAAACACCACAAAAATCTGAAAATGTGTTTTTTCCGTAACTAGCTGGGAAAGGAAAAAGAATGTTGGATAGGAGAATTTGTGAATAGTGAACCACGAATAGATGGGAGGATTTTACCAGCATACCACATTCATGTCCTCACCTGTGGAAGGGCCGGTGAGTCTTTGTAGCTGGGCAGCACCTTCAGCGTGACGCTGCCACTGCAGTCCCTGAGCAGCTCCTGCAGCTGGTGCGGGTCGCCGCCCACCTGGTGGCCGTTCACCTCCCGGATGACGTCGCCTGCGTGCAGCATGCCCTGCCGGTCAATGGAGCTGCCGTGCAGGATCCGCGCGATGACCATTTCTCCTTGCTCCGCGCGGAAGGTCACCCCCTGAAAGACGTGCTTTGTTATCGCGCCGCCGCACGTCATAAATTACACAACAGGCCCGCCGTGCGGACAAAGTCATTCGGGAGAGGCAGATAAAAGCAAACGTGTGAAAGACAGTGGAAATAAAAAGTCAACACAACATTTTGTGACATGAAAAAAAATGAGTAGAAGATTAATCACAATGTTTTCCACCATTTATGAAAACAATGATCGCCAAAAAGGTTCAGCCTTGCGTTCATCAGACCATCAAACGTTTTGTCGCATGTGTTTGGGAGACTTTGTGATGGTCCTATGAAGTTCAAAAAAGTTTTTCTTGAGCTGCAACTGCGGCCTTAAACAAATTGGAGGGAATTAGGAACGGTTTAGAATTTCAGTTAGTCTGAGCACAAAATCTTTAAAGCTTATGCTAGGAAGAAAAAAAAAGTCAGGAAAAGCCTACTAGAACATCCGAACACCCAAAGCCCGGTTATAAGTGGGTGTGTTCACTTCTGCAACCACATTATTTCAGTCGAGATGGTGGAAATTGTGAATTTGAAATAGTTTGTCTTGGCTTATTCTTATTCTTCTCATTTCAACAAGACTTCATGTCCATCAGAACCCAAACGTGGCGAGGCAGAGTGACTGCTGCCGTAGTTCCTCCGCTGCTTACATACCAGCGGTTCTCCGGCTTTCTTCTGGATGCCAATCATCCTGATGGCGTCGGCGGGCATGAGACAACTCGCCAAGGCGTCGGTGCCGTTTTGCAGCGGTGCAACGCTTGGCATCTCATAGCACTTTGCAGCCACTTGGTCATGAGCCTCTATCAAAGACTGCAGAAAACACAAGTGAATAACAGAATTCTAGATTGCAATTGCAGCTGTAACCAGATCATAGGGCTTGACTTAATCAGCTTAATCGATTCTAGTGAACGCCCGCATTTGTGGTGGATAGGGACTGAGCCCTAACAGAGTGAAAATCAGCCAGTGATTAACAATCCCCCCAAAAGGGTTTGTAATTGTCTATACATGTCACGAGACGGCAGCAAGAACAACTAAATGAAGCACATCGTGGCACTTCAAATCGTTTACTTTTCTCGATTAATTGATAAGATAGACAGATTCATCAATTAATACAATAATCATTAATTGCAGCCCTAGATTCACAAGTTATAGAACATAATCATTTTTGGAGCACAGATGAGCAAATTCCATGTTTTATTTTGAGGCCCTATCACGCAGCCATACAAAATAATTCAGTAGATGGAAAGTAGAACGAACAAGCAAGCGCCTTTGATCCGAGCTATCGTGCAATTCCAGGAACAAATACAACTGTTATAAAATGGCCCATAGACATGCATAATACACCATATTAAACATAAAATCCGTTGCATCTTTTTTTTTTCCCGTGATCCAAAGCCCTCAAAAGGAAGGGCCCCTGACAGGAAAAAGGTTAGCCATTTGTGCACGACAAGACACGTAAAACCGAAATGATTTCTGTCCACTGATAAACGCAGAGCCCAAGAATAAGAGCAATATTCTTACCCTAGCAGCAACAGCAACATCGGCTGGAGACTACAAAGTGCATCAGCAACTCAAAATACAGGAGGTGACACAAGTGCTCTGCCCCTCTCGTTTCCGACAAACTAGGCCTGCCATTGGTCACATACCCTGCCCCGGTCCACTCCTACCCATGCCACAGAGAATGAGTGGTGGGGGATAGGAAGGGTGGTACAACTTGGAAAAAAAGGTTCTGATGAATGTTTCCATGTGATGGGGGGGGGGGGGTCTATTCTACGACAGAACTGCGGCTGATTAAAAGGAAGAGGATCAAACTACCTTAAAATGAGGCTCCTGGAGGATGTGGGTGAGCTCCACAGTGGCAGCGTCTTTTTCAGTCAGCTTGTTGAGAGAGTCCAGGATCTCGGAGATCAGCTGAACGTTGTCATCTCGCACCGCTTCCAACTTGACCTCCTCCAGCCGCTCGTGAGCCTGTGAATGCCGACACAAAATGGACACATTATGTATCCCAGTCATCCTCGAACCTTTTGCACCAAGTACCTCCTAAAAAAAAAAAATACAATAAAATACGGAATGCTCCCAGTGAAACCATATTGACTAACATTAAAATAGTGTAGTAGGTCTAAGTTTTTATGAAAATAATAACTTAAAAACGTTTTCATGCCAATATTTACTTCTCCTCAGAGATTCCATGGTATTCAAAAGAAAACTTTTGTCTGAGAGTTGATATTTTATGGTACCTTCCTACAATAATGGCCTCGGTCATTTTTCAGTCTTTTCAGAAAACACAAAAAAATGGACCACTTAACAAAGAGTGTATTTATTCCAAAAATGATTAATAGTCACACATTTTCATGACCTGCTCAAATAACAATGGAGATCATTTAAGCAGAGGTGGCCAGTATCAAGGAGACGACTTCAGCAATAAAAATAAATAAATTCAAAAAACAATTAAAAATGGCATACCGTACATCCAGCATTCTAAATCACGGGAAGATGCTTAATGGGATACATTGATTCGACAAACAAGCACTTCTCGCGTAAAAATTAGGTTTTAGTATGGTTTCTGCAGTAGTTCTCAAAATTCAAACAGCAAATGACATATGAAATATTCCAAAAAAACGACATATATTTCCTGTAATAGCGTGAAGAAAAAAGCTATACAATGACCTGTTAGAAGGCGTGTCAGTCTAAAGACGTACACTTGAAGACATTTAAAAGATGAATCCTTGCCAACCTATCAGGAATAAAATGTTACGTAATAGAGGATGGGGGGGGGGCACAGTTTTCTAAGAGCTACACGCTCCATTGTTCTATAAATAGACTGACCGCATGGCTTCAATCTCTACCAGTGCTTTATTATCATGCTGTTGGACTCATTGACCTCAGTTAACACATCTATTTAAGTTGTGTAATTACGTAATGTTCACATTATGTGAAAACACTCCAGTTTAGACCTTGCACAGTTAAGGTATGGTCTGCTACTGCGCGGTGCACAATCTGGTTTCATTTCTCACTCTGGTTGGGGCCGTCAAAGGTAATCAACTTTCCTACATTTATTGCAATCGGTTGAGGATGACGCGTATACGAGACATTTGCGATTTCTGGAGAAAATGCATGTGAATGCTGAAAAGCCGAATGAAAAAAATATGGATGCCTGTGGAATGAACAGAGAATTATTTTGTGGGACGTGGACATTTTTGAAATGCTGAAAATTAGTACCGGGGTGAATTAAAGTACCGAACGCTTTGAATTTCAAATGGGAATAATGATGTGAATCTGTTTTTCTGAATGTTATTGAGTCAGAACAAGGGAGGTTTGGGGTGGTAATTTTAGGAGTGAAAATGTTGAATTTTTGGACAACGAGAATTTGGGGCACGTTGAAAATTGCTCCCTCGGTGAATTGTCTTTGAGCTGCACTTAAAGGGAATGAAACAGCATGGCCTGCCACCTCATGATTTTTCAATCAAACAAATGACATAAACAGGATTAGGTTTGTGTGGCCTTGGCGCAGGCCTGTGCTGTGCCGAGTGCCATTCTAGTTTACCATTATGCTTTTTTGTTGTTGTCAGTCCCTTGGCCATAGAGCACTAAAAACAGTATGACAATCATGAAACCCCAGTGCATTTGTTCACCTAAGAGTGAAATTATTTTCTTCATTTTTATTTGTGAGTTCCAGATTATTCGGTCATGCATATAAAAGCAATTCATGTGAAATTCGATTTTTTTTTTCTTGAGGAGTTAATATCCTGTACATGATGACCGCGTATAGAACCGCGGTGCATGTCTACTTTTATTTTGATAAACCTTATTTAGCTTCATGAGAAGGGACAAATATTTAAAAAAAACGTCTCTCAATATGATGCGGTGCACTTTGATATCACTGCACGATAAGTAGTGAGTGGATGGCATGTTTTTCGTACCTTTGCGAGGGAGCGGACGATGCGGCTCTCCATGATGCCACGGAGGAAGATGAGGTCGATGTCTTTGGCAAGCGAGCCAGTGGGCAGGTCTTTCAGGTTGTCCAGAACCTGCTGCATGGCTGAAGGGATGAAAACGAACACAACATCAAGAATGCGGCTACAGAAAACACTCAAAATAAAAGAGCCAACCAATGTGGGACAGTCAATAAATGGGCTAGTTCACGTTCCCGAATATACTTGCACAGACAAATTCTTGCACCAATAGACGTGCCAGAGTTCACACAGGAAACTCTGCTATTGTATAAAAAGCCTTACAAAATGTAGGAACTAGGCGGTTTCATAACAGTGTTTGTACCAAATGGATTTCCACACTCACGGTAAGGACAACTCAAAAATAGATAAGTGGACAGGAAAACGTTTGAGAAAGAAAGCAAAACTTCTGGATGCCATTTAATCCTTTGAGTTCACAAGAGGCCTGACCATACAAGACCATCTGCAGATTCTGGCAGCAGCTTACCTGAGCCTGACTTTGCATTGGCCACAGTCATGTTGTGTGCTCTTCAGTTTTAGGATGGCAAAACCCTCTCCACAAAGTCAAATTCTATAAAACAGCCCGCCTACAGCGACCAGAGCAACTGCAGGGCTAAAAAGAAGCCAAAAAGACACTTAATGTTGAGCCTTAACGTTGGACACCATGACAAATGAAAGCACAGACATTTATTGACATATATCACCACGGAGGAAAAGATGACAATGGACGTTGTTATGCTAATGCAGATAGGAGAACAAGGTGTGGCACTGAATGACAAATGATGACTCGACTCCACTTCTGAAAAAAGTTTGCTCATACACTTACAGTGGCCACCAAAAGCCCAAGTAGGAGGGTGAGCTAATACAAGTATAAACTTGTCTATCGTGGAGAGCAAATGGAGAAGAAAAACAAAACAAAACAGTACCTCACCGACAAACTGTGTTCAAATCATTTGCACGGCACTCCAACATGGAGTCCTAGTCTTCGTCAGGCATCTGGAACCCCTACGTCACAGAGTGAGAGAATAAAATGAATGGGTACTGGTAAGTCAAGTACGGTGGAACCTCTAAATAAATCCATCCAAAGTGGTGCCTCTGAAGTCCTACAAAATGTTCAAACAAAGACAAAGCCGTCTCAGTTAAAAACATACAATTCCATATGAAACTTATTCCATGCCTTTGAGATATGGATATTGCATGGGCCATTACCGTGATATCGATTTTTCCCCGATATATTGTGTAGCCCTGTAAGATAGTGTGACAACATCCTTCTTTGGGAGGTGGGAAATTGTTACAAACAACCTCGATTATCTTTATAATCGGGCTGTTTGATGTTAGTGATGTGTGATGTATAACTCCGGCTGTCTAGTTTTATTTTAGAGCTAAAATGTTTTGTGTTACAGGCCATATTTAAGTGAAATATGGCGCACAACTATTCAAAAAAACAACACGGAGTTGGATGTTAAAATGTGAAATTGTTCCTCCACAAAAAAATACATTTGACCGTTCAAGACAAGTTTTTGACCAAAATTTAACTGAAATAAAACACTTTTTCACCGCAATTCCAAGACGTAGGTCTCCTACTTGGTATCTGTGAGTACTCGAACATAAGTACTTGTACTCCTAAATGTGAGAAATACTGTAAAGTCGTATCATTGAATCAAGAGCACAACGTTAGCAAATCTATGGAAACACGATGTTATGCCACTGAGACACCAGATCGCTTTTGATTTAAAACAACCAAACGTTTCACTGCAAGCACCTCACGTTTCTTACAGTTCAATTAATTATTTTATCAGACCTTTTTGTGTGTTTTACACAGGAATCTATACTTTAAGTACAGAGTATGAGTCCTTCTGCCATGCCCGAAAATAGCGGAGCAGCGCGCTAAAATGTACATTTGGATTTTGGTTCTGTCACGTTTCGCGGTCGCTTTTTAACACCGCGATGTAGCGTGGCATTAGCCGAAGTCACTACTATCCATTGATTAGGACAAATTTCGAGCCATGCCAATCACGCAACAATGTGACACTTTCAAAAACGACTGCGCCCGAATGTAACCCTCGGCGCCGGATCAAATTTAATTATTTCAGTTAGCATTGGTTAAAAGTGTTTACGAAGATGTTAGCGTAGCTAGCACAAGCTCACGTGCGTTTATTCATCACTTCCATATTGATCAAATGTATCGCTATGTAAGGAAATATAAGACAAGCGTCTCAATGTGAATAACCGCTGGGTATACATGCATAAATGTCATTAATATCCATCAATAAATTATCCGAAGGTACAACGCTTGCTGAACTATACTAGGAGTTAGCACTGCTTTGCTAACATGACTCGAGTGCAACATTTAAACGCGTGTTTTTACCTGCTCTATTCACTGGAGTCCGGTCACGCTCGCTGAATTAATTCCACCCGATATGTCCATTACAATCGTTTTATTGCACACAAGTTACACGCTTGTTTAATACTCAGTGTGCGTGTCTGCCAACCAGGCAGCCAGGATGCTGCGCCCCCTTTTTTCCTCCTTCACTCAACTCACACAAAGCTTCTCTGTGGATCACGTAGGATGTCCTTCAAAGTTGTGGAGTACATCTTCCAACGTGGACAAACCACCGCTCACATTTGCTCTAGACTCCCCCATTGACGACATTACATCAAATAATGCGTTTTGGTTGACCTTTGCTTCATTTTGTGTCCTCCTGGACCCGATCTGACAGAGCCACACTTAAAAAATGGCAGCCGACATTGAGGTAGAGTTTACATTTTATTAGCTCATCAATCTGTCTTCAGGAAGAAAAAAAAAAACATAGTACGCCACAGCAGTAATGAAAATGGGAAATGACATGTCGCACTTGGGGAAAAAAAAACAAGTCTCTCCATCTGTATTGATTGTATTGATTTAATTACCTCTGCAATGGGTCCCAGTGCATTAAATATGATGGTATGTGCTCTTAATGCGTTGCACATAGAGAAAATTCTTGTGAAGAAGCACAGGCTAAAACTGGGGTTTTATTTTCGAAACGAGCTGTGTCTTTCTTTTAAGGTAAACAAGCATCGTCTTGATGCAATACAGTATTATCTCTTTTGGATTAGGGAGCTATTTTATACATGAATGCTGCTGTAAAATGTCTTGAGATGGTTGGTAGTGTTTATCACAATTCTTGATGTTCATTACTAAAATGTCCAATCACCACAGTAAATTAGGCCCGATCCTAAATCTTCATCTAGTTTTATATTTGTGGCTTAATTAATCTGAAAAATGTTGAGTCCTATAGTCTTTGGTTTCCAAGATTATTTGTTGCTTTCGGACCCCTATACTCGTACAGAGTTGGGTAAAAGAGGCTTTGTTTACGCTGCTCTTTATGCCACAAAAAGGATGGGAGATACCTGTTTTAATTTATAAATAAAATAAACAGAAAAAATTACTGTAATGCTGCACTTGCTCTTACAAACTGCATTGTGACAAGCTTCAAAATGTGTCACATTGTACAAGTCATTTACAACGACGACTACACGGGGGAAACAGAAGATGGGCACCACTTTGTCTATTTTCACATTTATTTAAAGAAAATACACAGTAGATATAATAGTGTTTCCCAAACTTTTTCTACGAAGTACCATTATGGTGATCAACAATAAAATACAGTAGTGTAGTAGGCCCAAGTGTTAGTGTATTTATGATTGTAAGCCACCATAACATGATGCAGTTTGAAAATCACCCCTGCATTCTGATATGAAAATAAAAATAATCTGTAATGACATAATGATTCCATTCAAATGCATTACACATAAAAGTTCCATTAAAATCACTTAGATAAAAGTTTAATGACAAACAGTTCATATCGATGTAATACAACTGTATTCTCCAAAAAAGTTAAATACAACTAAACTGTACATAGGCAGGGATTCTTTTGCATCCCACAGGAGCCTACACTTTGAGAATCACTGACACAGAAATTCAACATACATTTGGAAATTGTGAAATGGTACAAAAATTCTAAATTAATTAAACATCATAACTTAGTGACAGCTCCGTGTTTGTTGACTAATGTATATTAGAGAAACTACCACCTATACCACAAATGAAGGCATTTTCATCATTAACAATATGATTATTAAAAGAATATGATAATGATAATAATTGGAAACATAAAATAAATACAGAGATTTTGCTCATTTTTTAAATTTTATTCCTGTCCCAAACACAAAGCACAATCTAGTAGTGTGCTGTATTACCAAAATATCGTTGTACCACAGATTATCACTAGAGGACACTGTTTAGTAAGGGACGCTGCATATCGGGCCAACAAGATGTGAAAAAATATTATTTACAATACTGTATACATGTACTTTAATATTATTAAATACAATATTTCATGCACCACAATTGACAATTAACTCCAAATGAAAAGTTTCAAGCAACTCCGAGATCATCACCACATTGGCAGCTCATCATACCTACAACAAAACAGACACAAGTCATTGGCATAGAATAGACTAGAAACAATAATTGGAAAAAAAAACAATGGGGAAAAAATAAAATGATGCTCAGCAACCTCTTTTTATTTTTAGTTTGTATTACTGTGTTACTAAAATTGCTATCAAGAGGTACAAGAACCCTCAACTATATACAACAGCAAAAAAGAAAAACAAATAATTAAAAAAAAAACAGCTCAGCAGTAACCTTTATTCTTAAGACGTTTAATTATATAATGTGTAGTTAAAAATAAATACCTGAAATTAAAAAGTGTTCAGGGACTCAAATCAATTTAATAGAATTCTATCTATCTATGTATCTATCGATCGATGGTTCTTAATCTTGCAGTCAGGAGGTGTGTGAATGCTACTTTTTGAAAGTACAAAGTAGAAAATAGCCCAAAAGTTACAAAATATTGCTCAAGTGACTTTCATAGCCTTTGCAAAAATATTAAATCTAACAATGCAATTCTCAAAGCAAACCCAAACCTCAAAGATATGATAAAACTATATTTTAAAAAATCCCCACAACATGTAAGACATGTATACTACATGTTAAAAGCAGATGGATGGTGTGTTGTTGCAGATCCTACCTGTCATAACTGGACCCAGGAATAGTCTCTGTGCTCTCCTTTACAAACACATCAGAAAACATTGTGTCTGGAATGTCTCGTTTTCCATATCTGTGCAAGGATAAAAGCCAGGCAACATGTCACGACTGCACCGCTGATAATAACAATAACCTCACTGTCTCCATGTCGCTCACCTCTGCCTTGTAATGAGGTTGATGTAGTGTCTGAGTGCAGAGTAGTATTTGGCCATTTCCTCGGGGGGTGCTCCTTCTTTCGGGGTGACAGGCTTGCGTGGATACGCATCAATGCCCGAGTGAACGCAAGCCAGCAGGCAAATAACCACAACCAGCAACATCCCAGCAGAGAATCCTGGATCACATGAAAGAAGCAAAAAAAAACTTTACAATCAGAACATGCAGTAATCATCCAGTAGCGAGATAGATGCGTGAGATATAAACAGCTCAATTTCTTCAAAAAGCAAGGAAGTGATCATCCTGAAGGACATACCTTGTTAGAAGATGAAGATTGTGCTGTGGGGTGACTTCCAATATTTTCCAGGCTCTTCTGTCAGCCTCCCAGCGCTGCCAGTGTTTTATACAGGGTGTGTCAAATGGAGGAGGCGGTAACTTTCACTCACTTTAACAGCCCTCCGGGGGAAAATCCGCCGCCTCATTCAATTAGTAATCTCTGCCAATGACACAAATGTCAGTATTCTGTGACTTTATGACGAAATACATGCGTAAAACACCAAATTGAGTCACCAAATGAAGATTTTCCATGTTCTCACATGTTGCACATCATGTCACTTGGGAATCAAAGTTCACCCACACTATCTATTTTCCATGTCAAAACTCTCCATACGGCACGGTTTTCCCGATTTGTTTGTATTTTTATCCGCCACCACCAAAATGAATTGGAAGTTATTCAGTCATAGGGTGAGTGAAGTGACTGAGTGGATTTTATGGCATTTATCATTCATAGCCAATTTATGCAGAGGACCTCCACTTCCAGGACGCAAAAGTATTTGGGCAAATTTGTAAATATAATCCAACTCCAGACTTCTTTGAAGGTAAAAAAGTGAATATTCTTGATTTCAAACCAAATGGATATCCTGAAAACAAAAGAGAGGGTTTCAAGAGTCATAAACCAGCACAGAGTGAAGGCTGCTTCAGTGAAGCCCTGAAAATGTGTCTCCAGGTGACAATTCAGTGATTTCCATTGATTCCGGACATTCACTGATGACAAAGGATTTTTACTCAAGTTGTCTAAAATACTTGTACTCTTCTGTCTCCGAAAATGGAGGCACGAAATCACTGCAGTTCCCAAAATGTGTTATCAGCAGAGGGTTACACTGTTAGAAATGCATATTGTACTGCCCAAGCTCAAGATCTCGCAGCTCTTTTATAAATGAACTGCTAACAGATCCTGTACTGTAGATGTAAACAGCTAGAAGTTGCTAACATTTTTGGCTAATGTTAGCTTTAGCAATACCATTCAGTTAGCAAGCGAAGTGTGTACTGTTAAACAAATGTAAAACGAGACTTATAACCTTAACAGGATCCAATACATGAAAATGAAAATTGTGTTAAATGTTAGTCGACAAAATGGTGGTCGTAATGTCATTGAAAACAGCAGACAGTTTCCTCACTGGCAGTTACCCCATAATGGCAGGGTGGACAGCAAATTCAGACAGGGCAAAAACACATACATTCAATTTTAAAAGTGGTATAAAATGAAGCAAACCCATTTTAGGAGACTTTTTTTTTTTATCGGTATGCGTGTAAATGTTTGTGTGCCAGTAGAACCACAGAGTTTCATTATTCTGATACATTTTCCTGATGACTGATTGATTCTGATGAGAGCAGAGGCACTTTACGGCGGCAAGCATCACTGTCCAAAAACTTTTGTATCTCTCTGTATCCACCCTACAATATACAAAATTGCGGCCGGGTAAGTGCATTAGAGTGCAGGGAGTACACACGTGCACCAGAAGATCAATACCTTTTGAATTACATCCTAGCAAATGTTGTGTTTTACAACAGGATCAGCTCCTAAGCAGCCAGCGTCCATTAAGACATTAAACTTAAATGAATTGCACAAACGCTCACAGGCTGGCGTACAATTGATTTCAATTTGCAGCTTTTAAATATTAAATGAGAAAATGAATGGTTCGACTCAATCACTATGTGTAATGTTGACAAAAAGTAGAGAGAGGAGGGTTTTTTTTTCTTCAACCATTAGAACGTCGAGCTTATAATAGTGGCTGATGATGATATGTATTCACATTAAGAAAAAATGTGATCATCTTCTGCTCGACTGACGAAAGCACAGAGCCTGTATGGAGAAACAAATCACATGATGAATGTGAGGTAAATAGCTCAACGACAGCAAAATTACATAAATTAGACAAGAGCATGCCTGTAAACAGACCTGGCCGACACATCAGTGAGATTTGAATGTACTGTATTGTAAACAGTGGCATTGTCACCCAGACAGACAACAACTTAAAACCGTAACTCAAGCCTTTTGTTGGCAAAAAGACTGCACATTGCTCTGAAATCATACCAAAATGGGTCAGGACTCAAATGTCTGAGATGTAGGTAATGGAGGTCTCAAAAGCTTTCAAGACCCTGAACGACGGGGCCACTTTAACACAACTACTTTGTGAGAACGAGAAGAGCATTATGGCAGATTGGCGGAATGAAGTCT